TCAAAATGGTCGTTTGATTTTGCGCGGTAAATCTCATGAAAGTGAGTAGCGATCAAATTGTCTTTTATGTACATTCGCTAGTGTGGTTTCCCATAAAAGTAATATTTCTTAACGGTTCGATAGTTAATCATAGTGAAACGGAGAAGTCATTTGCTGTACAAAGAGGCGATATCGCTTTGCGCTTAAGAACAAAGGCACATTTATACTCATCTATCTCATTGGATCGTCGTCGCATAATGAGATCGATAGATTCAGATGTACTTTTTGATATGGCCAGAAGACACATTAACATATTCAGTTAGGCGGTAAGGTAATGAATGCATATCAGAATAACATTTTGATGAATAATGAATAAATAATGATACTTCATACAAACGAGTGCATTAGATAGCCAGTCAGTAGTCACGTTACTTGTCCTTTTTGATGTATCTTTGTTTGTTGTGGGGGGATAATGTTGTTTGTTTTTATGTGCGTAACAAATAAATACGGTCGCTTTTTTTGTTTTCATGTAAACTGATTTATGCATCAACACTTTCAAATGGAAACAAAAAGCTGTGCGCTAAAATGAAGCACAATGATGGCTTCCGCTCAGTAATTCTCCTTCCCTAGCATTTGTTTGTAGTTGTTTGAGAAATCAAATCTGTAATTTCAAGTGACTGAAACATGTAATTGATGCAGTGAGGTAATTAAATTCAAGTACGAGCGATCAATCCGTATATGAAATGTTTTGATTAGAGAAGTACTAAAAGGCATTCGTTAAGGTGTTCACAAATCGTTCGAATTTGATCGTGCATCTTCGAAGTCATACTGGTGAAAAGCCGTACAAATGCCGATTGTGCCCCTATGCGTGTGCACAAAGCAGTAAACTGACACGGCACATGCGTACACATGGACAGCAGGGGAAGGTATCGAATATTTCTTCTGCATTCAACAGTTTATCTTCGAAAATTTTGATCAAACAACTATCATATCCATGAGCTGTATATACACCACGATTGATTTGTTGATGTCACAGACTGTCATAGACTGAGCAATTATTCCTGTGAGTTATCTCAATAGCGATTCACTTCTTTTAGTGTCAATTTATTACTTGAAAGCTGAACAAAAAACTACCAATCCTGAATAATTTCAAAACTTTAGTGTGATTTCTATGCGGGATTGATGTGAAGCGCTCTGACTAACATCCATCGGAAAAATGTGAACATCGATAAAAATGAGATTAGAATAAAGTATTGTTCTTTAAGGAGACCTATCATTGCTATATCTGCCATATGCCATTCTCAGTGCATTCAACACTGGAAAAGCATATGCGTAAATGCGTTGTGGCTGCAAATATAAAACATCTTACGACCAGTCAACAGAGCTCACCAATCGCTTCGGATAATGCCAATGGTAGATCACTTTTCAGTTGTATCCCGTCAGTCAGTAACTGACATTGTTAGAATGCAATGATTGATTGAATTTTTGTGCTGATTCGCCATCAAAATCATTACGATTACTCTAACGAGCTGCTTTATTGATTCGATTTACAGAAACGACATCAAAACCGACAACGTCGAGTTTGGCCGATGCGAATACACTTCTGGCCTTATCCAATGTTTCGTTGAACAACTCTCAATTACCTGCAGGCGTCAGTCAAAGCAATCAAATTGTTCTCAACTGGTTACAGGTGGGCAACTGGGTCACTTACAGATGAAATTACAGATCTGCGCAGTCATCATCAATGTTGTGTGATCAGTGATATTCTGATGGCCGCGCTCTGGTTCGAACAGTTGAAATCGCTAGTATCAGATAACATCTGATGTTATTTAAAGCTCATTGAGAGGAAAAACTCGTTATTATTTCATTTTGAGAGGTTCAAAATTATGTTCGCTTTTAGCGGTGTACTTAGAATTTTTTCCAGGAGCCCGGGGGGAGAGGGGGGAGAGAGAGGGATCGCGCTATTCTCTNGGGGGGAGAGGGGGGAGAGAGAGGGATCGCGCTATTCTCTTGCGCTTCCTTTGGTTACGTCCATGTTCGCTTCACTTGTTGTTGAATTTCAGAGGGCTGGTGATTTCGCTGGGCATTTTTTGCGGAAATTTATAAGCAATTATTATTGCTGTCTGTCTGTCTGGCTTATAATCGTACCCAGTTATAGGCAATGAATGTAAATTCGTCGTCTTCAAGTGGCGGCAATTCAGCTTTACCTAGTGGTGGTTCCACAGCGAACAATAACAAGGAGGAATTCAACGGTGATGACGATGAAATGGAAGAGACTGAAGCGTCTGAACTGCAGCAAGAAACCAAAAAGGTCAACTTTGCTTATTTCGTGCCAGTCTCTCAGACCATATTATTCTAGTGACTGCCAGCCTGTTTTTGTTGTTAACGCCAATGCTGTCGTGAAATTCTGTGGATTCTGTAGTGAACAAAAGAAAATCGGTATCGTATTCCGGTTAAACATACAACCGATTGGTGTTTGCTATGCACATCATTGAAGCATGTTTATCGGTTTTAGGATTATTAATAATATGAGTAAATTGTTTTCAGGAGACTGCGACAGTTAGCTGAGTGCAAAGGTGTTGCTTGGTTGGATTGCACTGAAATGTGTCTTTTATATATTCTTTATGAATATATCTACACCACCTGCCACTAATTAATGTACAAGTGGTGTTATTCATGTTGTTTTGTTCTTCTTTCTACTCGATATCGAGAGGCATTTTTCGATGATTACCTCTCGAGTCTTCATTTGCTTCTATTGGCCTAGTGTCAGAACAGAGTTGTTGCGCATTTCGATGCGCTTCATCTGTTTTCTTTCATTGAAATTATTTTTTATTGTTTTTTTTTTGATTGAAATTTTATTCATCAGAAATTCTTTCTGAACTCTCGTTGGCCTTCAGATGATCGTACGTTGTGATGCGAGTTTTTTGCTTATTTTTTTCAGTTGAATTGTTTGATTACACGTTTATCGATTCTTCGTTCCGTTGTTATTAGTGATTCCATCCGGTGACCGTTCAGTGTTGTTTACTCTCTCCATATATATATAAAATCTTTTTATCATCATGATCTTTTCTGCGAATAAGATTGTCATTATCGATGTTTCACTGATATTCGTTTGCATGGTTCCTTTTACTCACATTAAGACATTTGCATGAGTTACGTTGTTCGATTAGAATCCTTGTGAATAGTTATTAGCTTGAGTTATTCAATTGAAGAGAAATTTGTTGGGTTGAATTTTGACCTGTCTTCGTGATGTTGTTGTTGTTGTTGTTGCAGTTTATCCTTACCCTCGGTGATGTTTTTGCGTTGGGCCAATCCAAGTCGCTCGTAGACGAGTCTTTATAAGTGTTCATTTTTTCATTCATTTGTTTCATCTTTTTCACATTCTTCTTCGAGCAATCATTGCGATATGTTTGTTTTCACGCATATAGTTTTTTCTCTTTGTTTTCGCTTTTCTTCTGGTTTCGTTGTTTATTCCTCAATTCTAGAGTTTTTAACAAATATCTGGGCAAATGTGATCGATTCGGTTATAAGGCTACTCTCTGATAATATTGCGGCTTGTCGAAGTTTCTTTTCATTTTGAGCAGTACTGAAAATATGTTATTCAACTGTGATCAACATAGTCATTCTTCCGACTGAACGATGAGATGATGGGTGCCAGTCGAAGGCGACTGACTTGAATGCAAAACTCAAAGATGTAAATTTTTACATTCCCCGATTGGTCAGGTGTCTTATTTACAGAACTAGAATCTCATCCATTGTTTAGGAGTTGAATAGATTAGTTTTCGATAGGCAAGACTGATTGGTTTTGCTGGCGTTACGAGCGATAACATGGATAGAATGATTGCAAAATTAGGTTTTTTATATAACTTGCACTCGCGCGCTTATCAACGTAAAATATTGTCTGGAGAGTGGCTGTTTTCAACATCAACATAAAATTTCTTCTTTANAAGTGATATTCTAGCTGCCTCATGTATAGTTCAGTTCTATTCCATTCGGTTTCGTGCTCTGGTTTACCTTCTTTCCTTCGTTTTTTTTTTCAAATTGAAATTTCTTCATGTGTGAGACATTTCGTTCGTTCAAATGACTTCTCAGAGTGAGCACAAAGTTGACTTGGATCTAAAAATTCTCAATTTTCTCGAATCTTCACCTTTATGAAAATGGTTTTTTGAATTCGATATGGGAAATTTGAAGAAATGTTTTGAATACACAAATCTTCAGACTAGACTTGCATCGGATGTGGTGAAGGGTGTCATTGTCGCAATTACTGCTGTCATTTGATCCCGTTATTAATAAGAGAAAAAACTATTCATCTCATTGTCCAAACTCCACATTGTGATATCAAATGAACCTTCCTCCATCATTCAAGGAACTCGTCACTTCTTTTCGTCGTCGTTGTCCTCCTCCTCCTTGAATTTCTTCTTTCTTCATGTTCATCCCAATATTCAAGCTAGGTACGAGCCTGCCTTTATGTAAGTAGTATAATCATATACTCATTTATAGTTTCTATTATCCCTTCACCTTTTCGTTTTGTACAAATTTTATTCGGGTGTTTGCGTTCAACGTTTCTGAATTGGAACAGTCACATAATCCGCCGGAGGTCTGGAATACTCTCCAACGTAGGCATATTTCAATGCTAGGTGTGAACACATTTATACAAATTACTTTGTTGCAGCGTATCTTTGCGCCATTCAGCACTAAAATCAGTTCGTGATGAGCGAACTGCTTGTTAGGTTATTCTGAGTGAAACTTTTTTGTGGTTGTTTGGTTGACACGAAACAAATTCTGATCAGGTATTATGTGGTTTTTCCTAGAAAAATTAACCGTTCATACAGGTCATTGTATCGCTAGAAATATTCATTATTATTCTTATCTCATTACTTTATCTTATCTCTTCTTATTACTGTGTGTAGAATCGCTAGTTTTCAACTTTACTCACTTTCAATTAATCCATGTACATTCTGAATAAACTGTAAGCAATTAATTCTGCATATTGTGAATAGCTCTCATCTATGCGTTCGTTGTTCATTGTATCATTTGTCACGGTTAATGTTAATGTGTGTGATATTCTCTAGTTGTATCTTTTAACTGCACTGAACTACGTTCTTCCAAAATGATTTCCTGCAGCAGNTAGTATTTTCAGTTACCTCTTGCTGTGACCAATTTATAGTACTATCCACAAGTTTCATTAGAATAATTGGAATTTGAAATAATTGGACGAACTATTTTTCGTCCATTCAGTAGAGAATCCTCTCAGAGCGCTCCTACGCACTTAACGCATTTCAGTGTCAGTGAATTGAATAACCTCGTTAGTACTGTTGTTACTTTTTAATCTTCTTTTTCAGTTATACTTTTACACTTTATATGAGGAATGTATCCCGGTGATTTGTACAGATGATATTATCGAATTTTTTTGTTGTTGTTTATGACATTGCTGTCTCAGTGGTTACACACAAACAGATGCTTATTCCTCGGGGTAATACGATTAGATGGACTGTTCGTTGGAGTCATCATTATCAACGAGTTTCGGGAAAGAATGCTATGGTTACAGACGAATTACTTCTCTCTGGAATTCGATCCTTTCAGTATGAGGTCGTAGACGATTGATTGATTAAATGCTAGTTTTATGACAGGTCTAATTGCGGTCGGTTTGTGTGTACGAAACTATTTGATGCGTCCTTGTGTTACGGGCTTTTTCATAGTTGTTGCATATTGATAGGTGGCGTTGATTCATTCTGGATTTAGATTTGTTCTCGTTTTTAGTCAGTCTTCACCCCCACCTCCACCCTACAAGTTTTTTATCTACATTCTGTTCACATGTAATCGTAATATCCCTCAACGAATATACAAATTATCAGCACAAGTTAATGCGTGCATTGTTGTCAGCAACATTATTCCGATGCTTGGCTAGCCAGCTTTTCAGAGGTTCATTTCTTTAATTTCATTTCAGTTAAGTTTTTTTTCGAAATTC